AATGTACTCAGAATTATTTTTAATTTACTTGAGTCCGTAATTTAGCTACGAGAAGATCTTGTCGCAGTAAAACTTAGATACCATTAAGCGTAGACGCCTAGTCGAAGCTCTCATAGTCATGTTCAAAGGTTATCCTAATTATATAAGTAACATGTTCAGTTTGAAAAACTGTGCCAACAATCTTCGTGGAAACGATAGCAAACTGAATCAACCAGCCCCAAATACTAGTTTCAGGCACAAATTTTTTCCTTATATTGCATACCGACTCTGGGACAATCTGCATTCTCGTGTCAGGGAGGCACCCGGTCTCAAGAATTTTGTTGGAATTGCCAAGCTCAAAGAACTTAAGCTTGGCCAGGTTGAGTGTCGCTGCAATCTCTGCTCTAGTTGATTGTTTAGTTGTAAAAAACTTAGATAGTTAATTTTTTGTAGCAGTTTTTGTATATATCTTAGGAATGTATATATTTATTAGTATAATAGATACAGGTACATTTTTGTAACGAGCCATCGCTTTCGGCTCACTACTATCTCGTGTTCAAATAAAGATTACTTACTAAAGATTTGTAAAGCACTCGCTTGCCATGTTCAATAAAGCATATTCACTGAAACAAGTACATGGACGCATTTCACACTATTTACACTTTATAGCAGTACTCATATGGAACGCTTGCGTCATATAGAGTCTGACTTGTACCAAGTCGCTTTTTCAGTGTTTTTGGTGAGGGACGATTGGATTGGAGAGTGATCGGGACGCAAAGGGAGTCATGGGAAGGCACAGCCCCTTCGCGCTCCGACCGTTCTCGCGTTACAATCTTCTCTCCCTCCTAAATCTTAGAAAATACCATAAAAATGCTAACTTGGCACCGAGGCTTGGGGGACGGTAAAACACTTAAAAATCATATTGAGGTTGAGAGATGAATAAATAATCTATTTTACCATTCGACGTATTTTTTTCTTCCTTTTCATCGGCCGAGAATCCACTACGTGACCTGCATATAACTGCCTACAAATAATAGTCTGCTCATGCGTAATGGCGTCTAAATGTGTTTTGCTGCAAATGATATTCTGCTCATGCGTAATTGTAACCACACTCTTGTCTGAAAAAAATGGCAGATCGCTTCACTGAGTTGTCAGAGAGTGATTTAAATATGGCGGAAACAAACTTCGTGATGGAATGATAACACAGTTATTGAAGTCACAAAATATTGTTATCGCAAATTTGTCAGAGCTTCGCAGATCAATTATTTCCTCCAGCCTTCGGCCTCGGCAAATAATTAATCTGCTCAAGTTAGAATTTTACTATATCAAAATTGTCCTTTTCACCTTCTTTCCCATAAACAATTGAAATTTAGAAACAAGCTGTGATCGTTTAAGAAATACGGAAGATTTTATGTATTTATGTCCGGTCATAGAAACACGAGCGGAACTGAGCAGTTGGGAGAACAAAAAATGCTGTGCTAACACAAATTGCAGGGAATGTTTACACAGCTTTTACAAGTTTCCCTTTGAATTCTTTCCGAGTTCTTCAAAACGTTCGGGCAAACAAAAGCAGATCTAAGTTTTTCTTTTTCCCAAAGACAATAAGTGAATCTCCAGTGAAACATGCCTACAACGGCAATTGCTTCTGTAAAGATGTTAAATGTTCCACAACTCTACTGAAATACTTACTTATTACATCCGCTAAAACGCTATACAGGTTTTATTATCACGTTGCGGTTCAGTTGTTCGATAATATTTTGTGTTGAGCCAGCATTTCAGTGTTATCATTATTGCAATTGTTCACATTTCCTTGCTCCGTGTTTTGCTGAGCTCTTTCTTGTCTTTGTCGAGCTTGTCCTACAGCGTTGTTTGATCCGAACACTCGCATTCGCATCTCAATTTCTTCCGCTTCAGCAATGTTTGTAGTTCTACAAGTTAACTCAACAAACGCTACGCGAAACTGTCTCATTCTTACCGAGTAAACAATTGGATTTAGAAACGAGTTTAGTATTACCA